GGGCGAAATCCAAACGCGCAACGCTCCCTTGCACAACAAACCAAAAAAAAGTTATTGCTCAACCTTTGATGACGTCTAAATCAGGAAATGAAAGAACCATTATCTGACATTGGGTAGCGCGCTACTTTCGTTAAACGTTAACCGCCATGTCTTTCCCCTTCTGGAGGGGATTGGCCTGAAGTAGTTTGTCAAGAAAGTGATAGGCAGACGTAATTAATATCCATTCCAAAAAAAGAGGACATTAAAAACAGCATTATGTGTTGACACAAACACCAAATCACACTCATTATTGCTGCATGAGTGGCGCCCAAGCTCCCCATCATTAGTGTGCTGCACAATGAAAACTCATACCCAAGGAGAGCGTCCATGACAACGTTTCAGTTACAGTTTGGTTGGACACAAACCACTCTCTCCCACCCGGAAAATATGCAAGAATATGTTCGAGTCCCCGTAGTAGTTCGGATAAAAACCATGAAATTCACTTTCCTTTTTTAGCAGTCTTAATCTTATGCTCATAAACAACTAGCGGCTTTGAACCCAATTACCTCTGGAGGCAGCATCAAGATGAACTATGTCATGAGTCCAATCAAGAGCTTCAGGCGCAGTAAGTTCAACCGCCTTGTATAGGGCCTCCATGAAGGGTTTGCGACGGTGGATTGTTGCTGAAGTAGGCAAGACGCCTTCTGAACCGCGTCGAGGAACACAAGGACTGTCTCTGCTCGTACCGTCAGCAAAAACATCCACATCACTCGACTTGCGACGCATCAGTAAGCACCAGTCTGCAAGCTGGGGGAACGAAATGAATGAATTAATCAAACTGCTATGCGCTGTTCCAGTTTTGTGCAAAATACGCAATCAGGTCGACATCAGTACACTTTTACGATCTACAAGAAGCTGGGAAAACCCAACTAGGGGAGAAAAATGCATCAAAATGAAATTATTGAATGCTTACCAAAATATTACTTGGAACGGTTTAAAACAGAAACACTGCACTAGAGGAAGAGGGGGAAAAATTGCATTCAACTTAATGAAAAAGCT